GACCATAGACCAGGCGAGAGTCTATTACTGCAGTGACAGCGAAAAGCGATCAGATAGTGGTGGGGAAAATGAAGAGAAATTGGCAGATTTGCCCCTCGCTGGGTAGTGTGCCTCTCCTTCATCCTTTATGTGCATTATACAATCTGTCTTAGGGCAACAACTGCCCAAAAAATGGAAAGATGCTGCTGACTTGGGGGGATGGGACTCAGGAAACATTGTTCTAGATTGTCTAAGAAAAAGAATGAAACTCGGTAACACAGTCATAAACACAGGCTCAGGACACGAAAATGTGTCCCACATTGACTTCCTGTCTTTCCCTATAGCAATTCTGACTGCCTAGAAATTCTGTAAGAGGGACATATTGATCTCTAGTCAGAGAGACCTGAGTTCCCATCTTGACTCTGTCATTTACTGTGTTGACTCTGCAATTAATTAATTTCTCTGATCTTTAGAGTCCTCCTCTGTAAAATGAGAACAATAACTATTTCAAAGGGTTGTTGTGATGGTTAAATTAGGTAATGCGCATCTATCTATATGTATGCCGTTAGTTAATTTAAGAAACAGAAAACTGCTTTAAAATCACTTAAACAATAAAGATATTATCTAATATAGTGGGAAATCCTAAGTCATGGCAGATTCTAAGGTAGACTGACTCAGGCACCTTAATTAATTTGTTTCCAACTTTCCCTCTGCCTCCCTCAAAGTGCTGACTCTTGAACTGGTTCCTCTTGGACGATAAGTTGGAAATATCATATTTAACAATAGAAACATCTATATATAGAAAGGAAACATCATTTGCACTATTGCCTACTTAAGTATGAGCAACTTTGACCAAACAGCAACAGACTCATATCTCATGAACTAGAACTAGAATGTAAAATGCACAAGTATATGAATTTATATGTTTTACTTACTTCTGTGCCCTCAATACCCAACACTGTGATTAGGACTTAATAACTATTTGTTGTTTGAATGGATCACATGCCTAAATCTAATCCAACCACTAGAAAACAAAGTAGGATTATCATGTAAAGCACTTTTTCTATAAAGGCCAAAATAGTAAATATTTTAGGCTTTGTGGGCCACAAATAGTCTCCATAGCATATTATTTTTCTTTTTTCAACCTTTTAAAAATGTAAAAAGTATCCTTATCTCATGGGTCTTACAAAAGCAAGCCTGGATTGGATGCACTGCAGGCCATAGTTTACTGATCCCCTGGTTGGACTGTTCCTTTGGGGCGAAATAGGTGGAGAGTCAAGCACCATGACCAGTATAACATAGGCAGCATTCAGCAGAGTCCTCCACATGTAAAAAGCACTCATTATATACTAGCTGCTATTGTTGTTGATGGTGCCGTTGTTTTTTCTTGTTTTTGTTATTCTAGGACAGTTGGGTTCTAAAGCCTCAGCTCTACAATAAACCTGCCACAGGGAGTTAACTGCCTCTAACCCTGGACTGAAGAACGTCTGAGTTGGGAACTATTTGAGCCACCAGATAGAAAGACATACTATTAACATAAGAGAATATGTAAAGATATAGAAAGCAATAAGCATAAGGTCAAAAAAACAAAATTAACAGAGGATATGATAGGTGCTATGGTGGAAGAAATGAGTTCTACTCTCAAATATTAGAAAATTCAAAGATAAAAATATAAGTTTCTTTAAAGCATCTCAGAATCTTGAATAGGCTAGTGTGCAACAAGTCTCTTCAAGGCGAAATCCTACGTGGTGTTTTCTATAGAACAGAATTCTTTTTCCAGAGGGCATCCCTATCACATTTTAGAAAACACTGCTTTAAGGTTTGTGGCTGACCCTGTTGTCTTTGTAGCTTTATATTATCTGATTGTCACAGCAGCCTGTTGAGACCGAGAAGACTTATCATTATCCCCAGTCATTGGTGATATTCAAAATATTTAACAACCAATATGGTTTGGAACTAATCACAGCCCTGGAATGATGTGGGTCCTTAATGTCCCCTGCCGAGCCTATTAACCCTTTTGTTGCTAAATCGTGGAGAGGTCCGAAGGGACCTCAAAGGCATGGATCAATTGGAATGACTATTCACCAAATAGTGCAGAAGGATTTCAATATTTTAATAAGCCATATGGCTGTTCTAGTGTATACTAGATGACCATCATCCCTGTCTACCTTTGTTGAACATAAAAAAAAAAAAAGATGAAGTGACTGTTCTAGGACTATTAACCAGTAAATGGCAGAGCTGGGATTCAAACCTCTACTGTTTTCTCTCTGCTACCCACTTTACTTGTGTGTTCTTTGTCAAATCCTATGGACTATCCTAGTCAATGACTGAAACCAGGGAAAAGAATACCATGTTTGGAGACAGAAGACTTATGTTCAAGTCCTACTTCTGTTATTTATTAATCATGAGACCTTGGGCAATTCACCTGATCCAAAAAGACTTAGTTTTGTCAATGGGAAAATCATGATAATTACGTCAAGATAGCAGGATAGTTGAAGGAAAGCTTTGTAAAATATTAAGTGCTCTTCAGCTGTTAGCCATTCACATTATTTACAGATTGGCACTTTGATCTTAAAAATGTGAATGTTAGAACTAGAAATATTTATCCAGATGAAGAGAAAACTCAGACTTCACAAAGGTTAATTATTTATCCAAGACCAAACAGCTAGTCATGATAGAGCCAGGACTGATTGCAAAGCTCTTTACTTCCAATTCAGAGCTATTTGCTGGGCAGCCTCCAAACTCATATCATGGGCTTCCAACAAGACAGAAATATGAATGATCCTAAATTACTGTCCCAGCACTGTTGGCATGCCACTGTCATCAGCTCCAGCCAAGTCTGCAGGAAGAAGTCCCACTTTGGGCCCAGCACGCATCTTCTATGGTTCAGGGTGTACCTATCCAATTGCTAGATCACTCCAGCAGCTCTGGGACTGGAATAGCAAAAAGTGTTATTAATGACACTATTTCAGCTACAGATAAAGCAGGCAGAAGACAACAGGAACAGGGAGAGTTTTCAAGCCCTCATCTGCCATTGGCTAAATGAGTCATGTTTCCTGGAGTGACAATTGAGAGGGAAGAGTTATGCTGAGCCTGTGAAGATTCAGGGTGAAAACAATACTCAAGAAGATAATCCTCACTGAAAAGTACCAGAAAGCCAAACGATATGGATGGTCCCCATTCCCAGCACCCTGGGCAAGTTGAATGAAGCAATGCGATTTTGTGAAATAAACCTGTGTTTGGAGTAAGACATCTTTGGATTCAGAAACCAAGTCTTTGACTTACTATCTCTGGTTGTTATTTGCACACCTCCAAAACATCTGGCTCTGTCCTCCAGGCACATGGTAGAGCTATACTTCCTGGTCCACCTGTGGATAGGTGGAGCCCTGTGACTAATCCCAGCCAATAGATAATAAGAAGAAGGGATGTATGTCACTTCTAAATCATGCATTTACTGCTGGTACAACACTCTCCAGAGATGTCTTTTCATCTGGTACAGCAATATTTATGATGGTTGCTGCTCTGCAGCCTGGATCTCTGAGTATCAAGATAATAAACAGAACCCTTCTGCTGACTCCTTGTGAACATGTGACACAAGCAAGAAATAGACTATTGTGTTTTAAAATTACTGAGATTTGGAGATTTATTATTATAGCATAATCTAGCCTATCCAAACCGATACATTACCAATATAATTTTTGATAAATTACTTAGCTTTCTCTAAGCATAAGTTTCTGATATTAAAAATAGGGATACACACTTTTCCAGGGTTGTGAAGATTATCAGTAGTTTATATAAAGCACCTCACAGCTCCCAGTACACATTTGGCACTCAAGCAACGTCAACTATTACTATTATAAAAATAGTCAAGGAGAAAAGCAGGTGGAAGCAGGATATCTTTAAGCAAATATATAGTTTGGAAACTGCACTCAGCCAGTCACCTAGAGCCAGATCTGCTAGCTCAAGGAAGGCCCCTGAATGTCTCTAGTCACTCGTTTATCCCTTCATTCCACCAATACACAGTGAGTACCGACTCTGTGACATCCCTGTTCTAAGCACTGAAAATACAATACAAAACTCAGTCTGGCTCTCCCCAGGACATTACCTATACGATTGAACCCATTTGAATGTCTCTCCCTCAGAGAGAACAAAAGGCTTGGAATTTGATCCCTTGCATTTTAAGGACTTTTTATTCCTTGGAAAAATTTTTGCGTATATTAGCAGATTTAATTCCCACTGCACTCTTATAAATAGGAGGGGAAGTTATTGCTATATAAATTGACAGGTGGCAAAACTACGGCTAGAAAAAAATTTATTTTTGTTTTTATTAACATCCAGCTAATAAAATTTGTTTTTATTAGCATCCAGTGGCATTGCCAGATCCAAAATCTGCACACGCAGATTCTTGCTTCAGGGTTGTTTGGGTTATTTTTTGTTTTTTTTTACTAATCCCATGTAGACAATAAAGAACTAGATCTCTTAATCACCATTCTGCCTAAGAGATACTCCTGGATAACACCTATATGAAAATGCTCTAGGTGAAAGACGTAAGAACACAGTTGTTCTGTGATTATAGCAATAAACAACATGAACAGGATACTACACAGAAGTGCCCCATACCAAATTCTACCAGCAGATCAAATTTCAGAAAGTTCCTACTTCACAACTCTCTGTGTGAAAAGATGCCTAACCCCACATCTAATGTAAGCATTTTTAATAGATTGGCACAGTATGTAATAAGAAAAGACCAAAACAAATAGTACCTGGCTCCCTGATGTCTTTTATTTGAATAAATCTTTCTAGAAAACTGGGTTATACCTAATTTCTCATCAACAAATAAGTATTTCACTCTCAACCCATGCCTTGAAGTCCAAATCAGGGACCAGTTCAAATGTCATCTCTTTATTAAAAACTTCCTTGATTGCCCTATCAAAAGTGATCATGGATCATCTTTTGTTTATATCTTTTTTTTTGAATGTTGAATCATGCATCTTTACTTGTTCTTCCTTTGCTCTCCACAGTTATAAATGCGTTTCCCTCTTGCACATGAAGAATATTTCCAGTGGGTTTTTGTGACATACTTTCAGCAATGCTCATCTGTAAACCCTTCTCCCTTAATTACTTCTTGGTAAGTAAAGTTAATCTTCCAATAGGAAGAAGTGGAGTACATTGTCATTTAAGCACCATTTATCCAGCCTTCTTACTTACAAAGAAAGCTATGGAGCCATCTTATACATTTGGAATTCCTTAAAGAGAGTGGCTTTCTATTAAAATGTACTTCTATATATACTATCTGTGAAGAATTCATGGAAGCATGAATCACCTTATAAGAAGCTAAAAATGTACCAAAATGCAGGTAACTATGGGTGATCTATATCGAATGTACTATATCCTCCAAATCGAGAGCATACAATGGCATAAACTGTATTACAACTCAGCTAAATCTGAAATCTTGTTTCAAATCACTGTTTGGTATTAAGTCTCAGAAGACATGTTATAGAACCACATGAGTAATTTGTTTGGCAGGTGGCCAAGGCACGCCAATTACAGAACTTTGATTGCCAAAGGCTCCAAGTGGTCCTCCAGAGACGGTTACATTCTGTTAAGTACTTAAGGAAGGACACTATTAAGAGACACTTTTAAGTACAAAAACAGGTCAACTTACAATGTGTACTGAGATACATGCTTGATTTTTATCTTGTAATCTATAGACAATGAATTAGAATAAAAGTGAAATGAATTTCCAACACCTTTTCAAAAGGAAAACCTAATAACAAAGTAGAAATAAAGTTAAAAACGATAATGATCAGATGAAATAATTGAGATGAAGCTTGTCTGTCCGAAAGAGACGGGACTGGGCAAGTGGTCAAAAAGAAGCACGGTATGCCTGTAACTTTGTATGAAAAATAATGTTCAGTTCTATGTTGCCAAACTTAATTTTCATTTTGCTATAAAAATCCTCTACTTCTAATTATTTACCAAATGCTTTACTAAAACTCCGCTTTTGGCCTTTGTTTTGGGATCTGTTACTTTTGTTGTCACCGCCTGACCACTGTCCCCTGAAGCCTCGACTGCCGTCCCGGTGTCCCCTGAAGTTTCTGCTTCCTTCTCGCTGTCGCCTGAAGGCTCCATATCCTTGCCGTGGTCCTTCCAGCTCTGGTTGCTCCGTGGCCACAGAGAGCTGCGAGCGTCGCAAATCATGCCATTTCTCCTGCATTTCTGTTACTGATGCAGTGGGTACATCAAAGCAAACACCCAGCTTTCCTTTGAGAAAGACCATTCCCTTCACTTTGGAATCAACATCCTCGCCCAGTTGCTCTTTAAGTTCTTTCCAAGCATAACTAATGTTTGGCATTTCAATTGAGCACCGCAAGATCATGGTCACAAAACCCGCAGCTGAGTTGATCAAGGAGCGCTGGTCTACGGATGTGGCACCTGAAATATGAGCCGATGCTGCTGCCAGGGCTTCCACAGCTCCCTTCTCCTCTATCAGCTTCTGGGCTGATTCCTTGAAGTGACCAATGGCAGTGGGAAGCACAGAATCCAAAAACCTGCTGGAAGTTTTTATTATTTCTGTTGCAGAAGGGACACCTATTCGTTTAAACTTGGTTCCCGCTTTTTGTTCCACTTGTACTAATTGATATTCTTCCTTGTGCTGATAAAAGCAGATGCAAACCCCTGTCCTTCCAGCTCTACCTGTCCGCCCAGAACAATGAATGTAGGACTCTACATCCTTTGGTGGACAGCTTTGTACAACCAAATCAACTTCAGGGATGTCTAAGCCACGCGCAGCAACATCGGTTGCCACCAAAACTCCAAAAGCAACATTTCTGAAACCTTTCAGGGTGATTTCCCTTTGCCTCTGTGGAATGTCTCCATGTAATGACAGCCCATTCTGCGTTATAGCCGAATTCTGTGACAGCTCCTGAGCTTCCTTCTTGGTTTCGCAGAAGACAATAGCGCGTCCTTGATGACCACTATACACTCGGATCACATCCCCAATCACTGCTGCCCTCTGACTCCAGTGGCACTTGATAGCCGGATGCTCCACACTTATTGCCGTTTTCTGTGTCTTTTTACCAATCAGGTCCACCTGTTCATATGTAGATTTCATGTATTTCTTAGCAACATTAAATACCCACTGAGGGCAAGCTGCAGAAAAAAAGCAATGTTTGGGGATTGTCTTCAGAATCTTTTTTATATGCAACACATAAAATCTCTTCCACTTGTTCAGCAAAACCCATATCCAACATCTATCAGATCAACTTCATCCAGGACAACATGCTTAAGTTTGGTGAAATCTAGCTTGCCATTCTGTATATGGTCTCTGATACGACCTGGTGTCCCAACCAGGATATCAATGCCATTCCGCATGCGGTCAATTTGACCTCCATAGGGTGTTCCACCGTAAAAACAGGCCACTGCCAACTTTTTTGTGATGTCACTAAAGTCTTTGCTTACTTGATTTGCCAACTCTCCTGTAGGTGCAAGAACTAGTACCTTAGGGGAACGACCTGTTTTCCTGTCTTGCAGTTCTCCCTGAAGTTTCTCAATCAAAGGGATGGCAAAGGAGAATGTCTTCCCAGTTCCTGTCCGTGCCTGTGACACTAAGTCCTTCCCATTGTAGACATGATAGAAAGTCTTTGCTTGTATGGGAAACAGGAAGGTCACCCCTTGGCCCTTGAGAAGCTTAATAGTCTCTTCAGATATGGGAAAATTAGAGAAAGCTCCTTCTTTTTGTTCCACAGGTATTTCCTGCTCTATCTCACTGTTACTTTCTTCACTGGCAGTTTCAATGGAGTTAGAGTCAGATTCAGAATGAGAGAATCCATTCTTCAGTTCTGGGCTCTTCTCCCCTATTTCTCCATTCACTTCCTTTTCTTTCTTCATCCTCTTGGGCTTAGAAGCACCTATTTCTTCTTCAGAAGGCTCCTCACTGATTATATTTTTGGTTTTAGGAGAAGAAACTTTCTTTTCCAAGGGTTCCTTTTTCTTTTTCACACTTTTGGTTTTAGGAGAAACCGTGTCATCTTGAGTCCGTGTCATCTTGGCTCCTCTTTCTTTTTTGCCTTTTTGGATTTAGGAGAGTTCATGTCAACCTCAGAAGGACCTGCTTTCTTTTTAAGTTGTTTAGCTTTGGGGGGAATAATTTCTTCCTCTTCTGCTGCCTCTTCAGTCTTACTCGATTTTGGTTTCTCTTTTATATTTTTCTTCTCAGCTTGCTTCCGAGGCATCTCTACTTTTTTCACGGTTGTGTCGGATTCCAAACCGGCGCCACTACGGAGTTTTCCCAGCATTATTCAGCACAAGGCGCTCGGGCCGACTGGTCTCCTCAACCACGTGGAGAGGAAGAGCTGTTTATATCTTAATATTGCACAGACTGTATCCTGAGGTCACACACGGCAGGGAAACAGCCAGATTGCTGGGGCTCCACATAGGGACATGTTAAAAAGTAAAATGAGAAATACAAATTGAGGCAAATTATGAAGGTTTCTAAATTCTAGACTAAAACGTTAGATTTTCCCCTGTAAGCAAGTGCAGCTGCTGCGAAACTGGAGTATTTACAAAATGCAATTATAGTCATATGATCAGTTGTGCTACTGAAGGAAAAGGAAAAGGTGGAGTAGAAATCAAGGTGTGCATAATGTGAGATGATAATCTAAACAATTATTTTTGTCTTGGATATGTTTTTAGATTTATATTTGACTTGCTTCAAATTCAATAAAGAAGCTCCATAAGAGGTAAATACCTGATTCGTTAAGCCTTGGGAAATTGTCTTTGCAGCACGATGAGCTGTGAAATCTTGGAAGAATTCTCCTAGACCAGGGGTGGGGGACCTTTTCATGTTAGAAGGCCACATTAATTTAGCTATAATCAAATAAGGCTGCATTCAAGAAACATCAATTAGATATAATTATAAATGTATAGTATTTTCTAAAAATCTAACTACTGTAGACTTATTAATTTCAAAAAATGAAAACCATTTGTTAATTTTAAAGTTAACTAACCTTTTAATGAGCTTGTTGTTTCTGCTTTCTGTTGGAAAGAATGTGAATATTTGATTGCAGCATGTAGATCTATAGTTTCAGTTGATCCTCTAGATGGGTAGCAGTCATTTGTGACCTTAAGGGCGTCTTGATTGGGGTTAGGTAGGACAAAGTAGATTCACAGCAATAAGTAGTTGAAAAACAAGAAAACTTCTCTGGGGCATGTTGCTGAAGGCATGAGTATTCCACTGCATTTTTCCATATTTCAATCGAATCTTTCTGAACATCAAACAATGACTTTAAAATGTCATTTACTGAGAACTCAATGAATTCCATCTGTAGTTCTTTAGGTGCCTTGGTGATATCAATTAGGTAAGACCGAAATGCTAATTTGAGTGTGATGTCATGATTTGCAAAGTCAGTGAGCTTTTCATTGTATTCTCCAATTAATAGGCTGATAACATCTGTGTATTCTTCAAATAATTCGCATATATCATCCTGCTCATCAATGACCTTTACTAACTAGGGAAAATGTTCATCCAAAATTTCCTTTTGAAAAAGTGTTTTGAAAAAAGATAGCTGTTTTTGAAATGCATGGATTTTTGGGCACATATCATATATAGACTTAGTTTTACCTTGCAAAGAAATATTCAAATCATTTTGATTTGACATAATGTTACAGAAAAATGCTGCATTCCTATAGAAATATTCTTTCAATAATTCATATTGCTGATTCTGTTTTTCATAAAATTTAACTATCTGTTCTCACAGAGACAAAATTTTGGCTAACACCCGCCCCTGTGATAGCCAACACACTTCAGAATAATAAAACAAATCCACACTGAATACCTCATTGTTCAACTTTGGCATGTTACAAAACTGATGATGCTGTGTTGCATTTGTACACATATAATAATACTTATAATTTATTGCAAAATGTCACTTAAAACAGTAGCTTTAGCACAGAGATTTTGCTGATGCAAGATACAATGAAAAGAAAAGATATTTTGAGTAGTGGAATTGAGGGAAGATGGAGGACGACAAAACTGTCAGCTATAGTGTCTGTGCAAGAAAGACAGATTTTAGAAGACATTAAAAAAAAAATCAGGCAGACAAACACAGATGGGATGAGGATCAGAAGGAAGGGTACCTAAGACTACAGGAGACTCCATGGGAAGAAGTTGTGGAGGAGAACTGGAAGGAGAAAGGCCCCCAAGAGGGTTGGAGACCAGCAACAAGGGTAGGTGGAACAGTTAAATGTCCCCTCCCTTGCATTTTGGACTGCTGGTGGGCTCCTGAGTGGTTGGAAAGACCAGCCCACACCAGCCCAGAGACTGCTGCCACCAGTGAGCGGTGAGCCTCTTGCTAACAGGGCACCAGGCTCCCAGTTTCCTCAGAGCACTTCCCAGCCCATAGACCTGAGCCAATCAGCAGGTGCCATATTGCTTCATTCTCCCCTTCCCCTACCCTACCCTCGGCTGCCAAGAGAGACAATTTAGCCACCACCTGGAGGCATCTGCAGGGAATAGAGCCTTTCCTTTTGGGGCCCTGGAGTGGACTGAGGGGTACTCAGACTGAGCTCCATACCCACCAGCCCTCTCAGATGCCACTTACCTGGTGACTCCAGGAGAGCAGGGCAAATCCCCAGGAAGATAGACATCAATCCAGCTTTGGCACCCTGTGGGTGACTGGGTCACCTGGCAGGGTCAGGGATTGAACTTCAGAGTCCAGAGGACAGTTCTGCAGACCAGATCCCATACATGCAGGTCTCTATCACATTGCCTCAGGGCACAGAAGAAATATTTGTGAACGAGCCTACTGAGGTGTGTGTGCCTTCAGGGGCAGATCAGCATGCTTGAGGGGCAAACCTCCTTCCACAGGAGGGCTGTGCACTCAGCTCAGGCTGCAATCCTGGGCAGGACCCTCCCAGCCCACATCACAAACAGGGGAGATCCACTGGCTGGAGGTCCTGCCTGCTGGCAGAGACCAGGGAGAAACCATGGAATAGAGGAGGGCAGAAAGGAGCGAGGCCTGCTCCAGACTGCAGGTCTCAGATAGCCCCTTCCCCACTCACCGACTTTTCAGCTGAGGGGGCCATGTCAGCTCCTCCCTGACAACTTTGCCCAGAAGCAGAGAACAGAACTTTAACCCCTGCTGACAGCATTTGTGGTGCTTGAGGGCAGGCTCACCCAACCCAGCTCCACCTAGACTCACTCCCACACCTGCTCCTGCTGAGGTAGAGAATAAGGACACACCTGGAAGTCCCAGTGCACTAGAGTGCCACCACCTGAGGCACTAACATGCCTCTCCAGAGGAATAAAAGCTGGTTACAGGTCCCCAAAACAACACTGCAGCCTGCTCCTCCCAGCAAGTGCCACCTACTGATAGGCAGGTCATTCTGCACACCCTTTAAGTGCATCTACTGACTCATCATGCAAGATGTGGTCAATTTTCACTCACAAACACCACCTACTGGCTCAGAGACTAAACAAGGTGTGTCATTATTCAAATGAAAATCTAAAGGTAAGAAGCAACAGCTGATCCAGATGGGAAGCTGGAATCAGTGAAAGAAATCTGGAAGTAAGAAGAATCAGCACAATTCACTATTGCATGGTCATGGAAACTACCCAAGTGCCCATCAATTCATGAATGGATAACTAAAATGTGGTATATACTCACAATGGAATATTACTCAATCCTAAGAAATGATAGTGAACTAGCACCGTTTATGCTATAGTGGATTAAGCTTAAGCCTGTAATACAAAGCCAGACGACACAAGACCTAGAAAACGGGCTACACATCTACTCGCCATCAAATTGGTACTGACAGACTAAAACTAAGGTGTTCAAATAATTGTAGTGTTCAACAGGGATCTGGGTGGGGGAGACCCACATCTTAAGGATGTGATGAGCATTGTAGGGGGGAAAGGATTACCTCTATCCCTTTTTAGGGAGTGGCAAAGAAACACACTGTAACCAAAATGTCTAAAAAAAAAAAAATTGTTAATGGGAGGTGAACAGGTGGAAGAGGGGAGAAGGGGAAGGGCACTTTCATGGTGGGTGCAGGGCGCACCACTTGAAGACTGGACACACTTGAAGCTCTGGCAGAGCGGGGTGGGGAGGGGGGCAGGGGCAAGTTATGTAACCCTAACAATATTTGTACCCACAGAATTTGGGAAAAAATAAATAAATAAAAATTAAAAAAAAAAAGACCCTCATGTGACAGGTGTCCCTCCTAGAGACAGGTGTCTTGCCCTATATGCAGAGGAAAGGAATGAAGACACAACAATGACAAGAAGAATCTACACAAACAGGCCTTGCTAAGTTCCCCCAGATCATGCCCTTCATTTCCTCCAGCCACACCCCTGCATAAAAATGCACAATTTTCCCTGGGTCTTTGAGTTGTCATTTCTGAAGGCTCCCATGTCACATAAAACTTTGGTTAAATAAATTTGTCATGCTTTGCTCTTAAAAAAAAAAGAAGAAGAAGAAGAAGAAGAATCAAATGGAAAGCATACCCCCAAAGGGGATCAATCACCCCATCCTAGAGGGTGAAGAAGAAAATACACAAGGGTTTAGATAAGCTATTTGAAGATATAATAGAGCACTAGTTCTCAGGCCTTGCTAAAAATCTAGAAGTCCAGGTACAAGAAGCTCAAATGACTCCTAGAAGATTCAATGCAAACAGGAAGACATCATGACACAGTCATCAGACTGACCAAAATAACCACCAAAGATGCCTTCCTATAAGCTGTAAGGTGAAAGAAGCAGGTAAGAGAAAGAGGGTCACTGTACAATGATGAAGGGTACAATTCAACAAGAAGACATAACAATTATAAATATTTATGTACCTAACTCAGGTGCACCCAGATTCATAAAGCAAATCCTACTTGATCTAAACAAAATGATAAACAGCAACATTATAATAGCTGGATATTTCAACATTCCTCTGACAGAACAGGACGGATCCTACAAACAGAAAATAACCAAAGAAACAATGGATTTAAACAGAACTCTAGAACAAATGGGTCTGATTGACATTTACAGAACATCTTCCCAAAACCACTGACTATACATTTTTCTCATTAGCTCATGGGACATTCTCTAAGATTGACCATATCCTAGGCCACAAAGCATGTCTCAACAAATTTTAAAAAATAGAAATTATATCATGCATCTTCTCAGATCACAACAGAACAAAATTAGAAATCATCTCGAATAGAAACTCTCATCTTTACACAAAGTCATGGAAACTAAACAACCTTCTGGTGAACGATCATTGTGTTAAGGAGAAAATAAAGATGGAAATCAAAAGATTCATTGAA